ATGTGGAACGTATTAAGGACGAGAACACGGATTTTGTGATAAGGTAATGATCCTTCGGTTACATAAAATACACGGGATTTCTTGACAAATTACTCGTACAGTTAGTTTATCTAGGTCTCTCCTCAATGAAGTTAGTTAGACGGATGAATCATGACAGAGACTTTTCAGGGACATTCTTAGGTTGAAAAGTGATTGTCATAAAATATATTCCCACAGTTCTACATTTTTGTTCTAGAAACTGGAAGATATATGACGGAATCTACGAACTGGACCAGGCATCAAACATGAAGAATTCCAATTTATGTACACCTATAGGCAAAGAATGTTCCGAGCGTTGTAGAAAGCCACCTTGTTCCGCATCATGTAGGCGCTCATGGGGAGAGTGGGTGACATAGTTCCTACTCATTCAATTGTCGTTACTAAATAATTTCAATGTGGAACGTATTAAGGACGAGAACAGGGTACCCATTCAACAGGAGGCTTGGGTGGGCTCCAAAGCCGGTCTCGACACAGAGACATTCTTACAACAATATTACTCGGTTTCCCTGTTGTCATTAGCTCCAAGCATATCCTTCCATTCGGCCTATCTTGAGTCACTGCATTGTAATTATCAGCACCACGAACTATTCCCAGTTACCCACTTAATATCAGTCTCACGTCATCTTTCGTCTTCCTCATTAATTCTGAAATCCTTTGGTTGAGGTCGTCGCTGAACCCCTGAGAAATTTGGAAGCTAAGTAATGCTACACCTCCAGATGGCCAAAAAACTGCTAAAATTAGGTGAGATTTCAGGTTCTTGCGGTATCAGAAATGAAGAATAATTTCTTCTGGAATGTTGCGATAGAGCATGGCAGTTTACCGAACTTTCGAAAGTGCTTGCTGCTTCTATTATCAGGGCAATCGCAAGCATCTCTGAAACGTCGGTAAACTTCTACCAGACTACACGGGGCAACATCCCAGAAGACAGTTTTATTATTAATTTTTATCATACATTCTTTTGTCTTAAAGCAATATGAAGAGTTTCTTTTACATCGTAAATAATAATTTTTAGACATGATAGTAACAAATTAGTAACTATTAGGCATGTATGTACGAAAAGGTCTAGTATGTAGTGTGAGACAGAATAGGCTGAGAACGACTAGAGGTAAACGAACGTTCAGCTACATACATTAGCTTTATTAGAGTACCATTTCAGTAAAACAATTTCTGCAGTACGGAGCTCTGCAGTACGATATGGCACAACAGTCAAATTCTACCTGCCTGCTAGGGGTGTCACAACATGGCCGGTATAGTGCGAGGTTTACTTTTTACCTCTGATAACAAAACAACTTTTCACAGAATATTCGTGCAGAAAGAGAATTTTGTGGCGTATTTACCGAAACATCTCACCATCAAATATTTTCCAAAAATTCTGAGAACGAAATAATTTACTGTGTACTCTGGGCTGTGACGAAGTATAGTCTTGTAGGTGGTTACTAGTGACTTTCACCCTGAAGATTGAGGCGATACGATCCCTCAAAAACTTGGTGAACAACCTACGTGGCGTCATAACACAGAAGACCACAATCCACACTTTCATTGCCGTAAGAAACTTATATTCTATGTTCATGTCTCGTAAAAAATTTTATTTATATAAATAAGTCACCTTTTTAAAGCAAACATGAATAATTTTTCCTAGTTTATTTTAAGACACTTAATTAATGGCACCGGGAGTAAGTAATTATGAAATTAACCAATCGTGGCCTATTTTACGATCCTGCTTTAGCATTTTAGTGGAGGGACTGATAAAAACTATGAGACATTTCTTGTATTTCACTTAAATTTATGGTGCAATGTCGGCCTAATTCTAAGAATGTTATCAGCCAAGTTTATTACGAATTAACAATATATTGCGTATGTTGCTTTATTAATCTTACGACATTATTCAGACTATTAATATTGAAACTGTCCTCCCTGAAAATTCGTTTCACCTTATCAACAGTGCAACTTACGTATTTATTGCACTTGCGATGAGAAGCACACATTAGCCTCATACTTAATAAAGCCTGACTGACTGTGATTGGTTTATCTCTCATCGTGTCACACTCAGCGGTACAAAGCAAGTGTCACCCGATTTCTAGTACAGTGCCACGTGAAATGCAGGATAACCATATTTTTTTTAGATGTAACACAGTGTCATATTAGCCCTTTAGAGCTTGGTGGGCACTATTTTAACCAAGAAATTACGTCCTTATATGCACACAATTTTTTCTTCTCTGAAATTTGACCCTGATTTCTTTGGGATGGATAATGTTTAGTATATAATAATAAAAATTATTTTATTGGACCTTTGTTTTTGTTAAAGGGATGATAATAAATTGGCCACTACAGTCTGAGAAAAATGGTGAATTAATAAGTATTTTTAAAAAGTTTTTCACTATTAAAATAGTTTAAATGCAAGTAGCAAGCAGAAATATGAACAAGTATTTAAATGTTGGTATCACATAACAAAATTAAGTATCTTATACATATTTTAAGTTTACGAAACAGAAATAAATATTATAGGCCTATTTATTACTTAAATAGAACAGTCTAGAAGTGTTTTTATTCACAGAAATCAAACAGATAAAACAAAAGATGAAAAACTTTTCTTTTTGAATTATGCGTAAAATGCACAAACAGTATAATATTGCATACAAAAATAAGTTTTTATCTATTGAGGCAAAACACCGAGACAATTCCTAAAGTAGAGTTTAGGTGCAGGATTTCAACAAAAAAAAACTTTCTCAATAAGCTGAGATGCAGAACCGACCGAGTTACACGAGCCTAATGCCAAAGCAAACTAGTGTCAAATATGTCTGTCTTGTGGGCAAGACAATGTGTTTGGTCAGCCCTGGATCTCTAGAAGAGGCGTTTTGAAGAAAGTTTGTCTTTGTAGACGTTTTAATGAAGACAGAATTCCAACTGCTGCCGAATTCAGAAATGAAAGCCGAAATAAATGCAAATTCCTGACAGCAATAAACAAAATGTATATACGAAAACCAAAACGAAGGCAATTTCCCGAGTGACCGCTACTGCAGAGTGGCGCCACCTACAGACTGATCTCGTTATACCTGTAATTATAATCTAAGACGGAAACAATAAATAATATCCATAAAGCCACAAGCTGGCACTTTTTGGTTTATCCATCCATAAAAAGGATAATAAAACAAACTTTAACCGTAGCCCCATTAAAACTAAATCAAAATATAGGCCTATTCCTTCCCTCTGGAAGATTGTGACATTGAAGAGGGAAATAAACATCA